ATTTTTCTTCTTCGTAGAGTTTTGGGAAGGCTGAGGCAATCGCTACTGAAGTCAGTATTATAATGGTGAATCGAGATTTTTAATGAAGTGGGTTTGAATACTCTTGACTGTTTTGTGAAATCGAGTTACGTCTGTGATTGAAGGATTAAAAGGGCGTCTATAGGAATGAGTATGCGGAGTGAATGAAATTTATTGGGTTAATCTAACAAGACAGTCAGTGGATACAAGATCGTAAGTACAAAGCGGTATTGAAGATTAACAGTTTGGGTTGTTCGGGGTTCTCTGTAACATCTAGAGACCTACCGGCTGGGGCAAAAAGGACTTCGACAAGCAGTCGAAGAGCATTCGTATAGATTTATGGTACATTGTTGCAGTCGTTTATATTCCAACAGTCAAAACTGATAGACTGCTTGACTATCGACGAATCTCCATACTACCTTCTACAGCCAAACGCCCGGCGCGTTCTCGAGCAGGAAAGCACGTATTACAACACCGCCTAATACTCAAATCCAAGGTTTTTTGCAAGTAGCATACTCCTTAGAATCTCCAGAATGGTGTGATTTGTTCTTTAGCAACTGTATTTTGTTGTAGAGTGTATGGAATAGAGGTTTGTCTTGCAATGCCTTGAATCTTCAAAAACTCATCAAAATACTTTGACATGTATTCAATTCCATTGTCCATGTGCAGCACCTTGATCTTGCAATCGCATTGCTTTTTTATAAGTGCCTTAAATTTCTTGAATCTAGAAAAGTATTCACTCTTACATTTGATGATATAAATCCACATCTTCTTTGAAAAATCATCAATTAATGTCTTAAAATACGATGCTCTTCATATTGATGGTGTCTTCATAGGTCTACAAACATCTGATTGTACAATCTCAAATAACTTGCTGGTACGTGTTGCTACTCCACTTGAAAATGGGGCCTTTTATTGTTTATCTTGAATACAACCTTTATAAACAAGTGTATTGGCATTGTCGCTAAATTGACCAAAATCCATGTCACTTACCATGGATTGGAATTCCTTCTTATTCTTGGCATTTTAATGACTAAGGTATTGATGCCAAATGCCAAACTTATCTTGATCAAGTGGAAACTCAACAAATACAGCCACTTCAACTCCATTCACCATCTTGTACTTGATGAAGTAAAGATTACCATCTCTAAAGCTCTTTGCAACATCATCTCTATCTAATGTCTTTATAAAGTACTCATTCTTATTAAATTATACCTTACAACCATGTGAAACTAATTTACTCATTGAAAGGAGGTTTTTCTTAATCTTGAATATATGCAAGACGTCCTTCAATTTGATCCTCTTCATTTATCATCTCATAATAATCTCTATTGTAATTGAGCCTATTCCAATAGATTGTACCATGCCATTGTCTTCCATAAAGACATTTGTTGTTGAAATTTCTTCATAAGTATCAAATGAACACTTTTATGGTGTCATGTACTTAATGGCACCTCAGTCAACAATCCACTTGGATGTGGCAGCCATAGAAGTGCCTTCACTTGCCATGAATGCAAAATAATTTCTTCCAAATTCTTCATGTACATTCTTGGCACTTTTTCTATCTCTCTTTTTGACCTTGTAGCAATTTTGTGCAAAATGACCTGATTTTCTACAAATGAAGCAAGTTTTGACATTACCTCATTGGTATGAAAGGTTGTCCTTGTTTTGACGGGGGTAGAGTCTTAAATCTTCATTTTGAGGCTCTTTTTCTTTCCTCTTGGTCACTTTATGGACAAGTCTTACTGTCACATAGTCCATTGTAAGTTCCTTCAACTTAATGGACTCGAATGCCACAATAAGATAGTTGTACGACTCAGGAACAATGTTATGACAATATCTCCTTGTTCTAAAGACTTGTCAATAATTGCTAATTGATTTATAAGAGTCTTTACCTTATTAACATGAACCATGAGATCTTCACCTTCACTAGAGGTTATATCTAAAATAGATTCTATCAAAAAATATCAATAAAATAAGTTACTATGAGCTTGAAATCACCAAAACGATTCAACACTAGCAGAATCTCAGAATGCCTTCTTGTGAACAAATGAGTACTTTCTTACTCAAAAAACTCTTAACTCAAGCTCTGAGGCTTCTAACAAATATGTGTACTCCAATAAACCTCACTATCATGAACTCTCACTCTTTAGAATCAACTATTTTTTTATACACACAAGATAAGTAAAACAACATCAGCAAAATAAAAGACATTATCAAGGTCTTTCTATATCATCTTAAATTCTCAATCTTAGGAGATAAGAATCCACAAAGCAATGTTAGAGATCTATAAGATCAAAGTCAACACATTTTCATGTCCAAAACACAAGTTTCAATCTTAAAAATCCTAATATCAGCAAACATCATACGATCTATTCTACACAAGTACAACCATAAGAGAATGATACTAACTTACTTGAATGGCACAACAAAGTGTGAGTGGGCCCATAACTTATTGATGAAATATAACAAGCAAGACACAAGTAAGTAGAAATCAATAAGGTTGTATATAAGAGAAGTGTGGAATGAGATATTTCCCACTTCCAACATTCTTTACTTATAGGTGGTAGTTGCTAAGCAATGAGGCAATTCCAATCTTTGATATTACATCCATTTCTACTTCACCCAAGTAAGCCTTAGGTTCTTTCTTAACCTAGGCACCACCTAAATCCTAGCCATCACCTTAGTTACTTCCTTTCACCCTTTTGCTACCCTTTGACTATTAGCAACTTATCTAAGATAACACTTACTTATTTTATCATACCTATGATAATACTTATTTACTTTAATAGAAATTCTACCTTATAAAAGTACTAACTCAAGACACAATTAGTAAGATCCTTGGCAAACACCAATAGATTTGTTTTTAAAAATAGATCTCTAAAACATAGCTATAAAGCATGTCTATATTTTCTTATTCATAGCTTAATAAAGCCCTTGTCAATTGGATGCTATAATATCAAAGTAACAAAATTATACTTTTTTAGACTTTATTAAATAAAAAGAATGATATTATATAAGAATGCTACAATTAGATAATAATATACCAAAGTTAATAAATCCTTAGCTCTTCAAATTCCAAAGTAGTCATAGATTCCATACCTTGAGATTACACAAAGAAAATAGATTTGTAGATACTATGGCTATCAAGAAAATTATATTGAGTATAAAAACAAAGCTTGCATAATATATTAAATAAAATATCTACAATATAGATAAAATAAGTTTTTTTTCTATTAAATGCCACCAAAAAAAATATTACATGCTCACAAATTGAAAGATGTAAGAAAGATAATTATGACTATTATTACTTTGATTTTCAATGTAGATGGATTAGATAAGTAAGAACTATTTATTTTTGGATACGTAGCAAATTCGTCCATCTTCAACTAAAAAGTACATGAACAACTTAGATTCTGCTATTACCATAATACTAAAGTATGGATGATAGGACTATTCTTTTGGAAATAGCTTTAAAAATTAGACAAGCAAGTGTATGATATAAACCAAAAGATTTTGCTCTCACTAATGCTTCATCACATAGAATAGAAAAACTTTCTTTGGCAAATATTAAAGTATTTTTTCTTCCTCCCAATACCAATTCTAAGATCCAACCAATAGATGTTAGAATTATTGTTGCATTCAAGAAAAGATATTATGACTTTAAACTTTAAGATTTCATTAATAAGGATGAATAAAAAAATATGTGCATTTACAATATTGATCAATTATTATTAATGAATTAGTATAAAGTTACATGAAGTAGTATTTAAAGGCTACAATTAGAAACTCCTTTCAATATATATGAGTCCTTCAAAAAGAAATATTAGTAGTCATAGATTAAAATAAAGATAAAATAAAATGATATTTTATAGATGTCATTCAACAATCTCTAATAGCAAATTCTATATCAATTCAAGTCTTATTTAATCTAGTAGAAGAAGAAGAAGTTATACATAAGAAACTTTTTAATAAAGATCTATTTTCTTTTCTTACATTAAAAGGAATTATAGTAAATGTAGTAGAAGAAGATCAAAATGCAAAGCCAAATTTAAGGCAAACATAGAAGATAAATGCTATTATTTCTTTCTTGAATCTACAAAAACCTACACATATTATTGTTGACAAGGTGTTGTGTGAGTAACAAACAATATTAGGTAGTTAGATTGTATAAGTATTTATATTTATTAATTGAAAAAATAAAAATTAACTAATTATTAGATACCAAAGATTATTGATTGTGCACTATATAATAGAATTGATTTTTAAAATATTAATTAGTTATTGGAAGATCAATTATTGAAGAAATAGTTGTATGTATGTATGTATGAATTAATCATACTTTTATATACTCAAGGTAATATGATCATGTCTATAGAATAAATTATAAAATAAATCATAGATATATTCTATCATTACTATGTCCTATGACCAATTTAGTGTTAAATTGCTTTTTCTTCTTTTAAAGTTGAATAAAAACCCAATTCTGAAACCAATGTTAGCCAAACAAATTAAATTAGTATTGGGTAGTTATCTCAACCATGCATTAAAGTAACACTTACATTGCATTAATGAATATCATATTTGATCAGCACAAATGAATTTATCTGGGAGACTAAATGTTTTAAAACCATACCATTATGGCATTTACATTGTGAAGTGCACTCATGTGAGGTCAACCATGACTGGCAGGCTGCAGGATCATGGAACAACTCATCTTCTCAGCTAGTAGTAATGCACCAAGTATGTAGAAATTGAACTTTGAAGGATGGTTTTGCAGCCTAAGAAATGAATTCTATATCTTTAGAGAAGACCAACCAGGAGTTTTACAGACATGATGCAAGACAGATGTGAATAGATTGGTGCAAGACAAATTGAAAAACCAGTTGTGGATAGGTAGATGGCTGTTCAAGCATGTACATGTGACGAAGCATGACAGAAACCTCAAGCAGTACAAGAAAAACAAGTCCACGAACAGAGTGTAAAAGGAAAGGGTCGTCAGATTAGAATGCCGTATAATAACGGAGGAAACAGACGAACTTGAGAGTCTCGTCCTACAAATTCTATCTAATTTTTCACGGTAATGATGGAGATATTACCACTGGATCTGAGGGATCCTGCTGGCTCTTAGCAGACTGCTTCCTCCTTATGCAAAAAGCCTTGTCTGGGTTCGTCTAGTTGGTATTCTTCTACTTACGGTGTTTTCAAGTGGCAGTGCAGAACTGTAACTCGAAATTCAGTAAAACTCACTTTGAATGTCCATGGTCTCTGAACTCTTACACATCTCAATGTCCGGGAAAATCAATGAGTTATCAGTAAAGTCCATCGAGTCGGAACTCAGAGCGCCGTGAGGTCTAGACAACTAAGCCTCTTCTCAGAGATGTACTGGCAGTCTTTAGTGTTCAAGCTGCCAGTAGATACAAGGTTGCCGCGTCTAAAATCTGTATCATTTCTCATCCCGAAAACCCGAACAACATTCAGTTCAGCCCAAATGAAGCTTTCAGAGGATGCCCGAGCTTCGCTTCGCACGCGACGTCGGGTATTGTCGGGTTCTACCTCGCCCTGGAATGTTCACCGATGTACCACGAACCTCTGCAATGAGAGAATCTTTCATGCGCAATAACTGAACATCACATTGCCTAGTTTCAGGCATGGACGCAAGCCGTCCTTTCAAACGTGGGCTCGAAGAACCCCTGGGGGAACATGGCCACGACTTATCTACAACACGTTCATTGGGCGACAGCCACTTGGAGTTCATGAAATCAAGGGTACGCCACGGTGGAAGAGGCATGGAGTTTTGTTTGAGAGACATTTTGACATATTCTGCCATGATATGGAGAATCTGTCCTAACCTCCTAGTTGAGCCAACGAAAACAGTTGGTAAAAGCTTGAGTGCAGCAAGGTAGCTAGGGGTAGCTCTCGCCAGTACAAATTGGTCCTGAAAATCGACATCGACAATCAATCGCTCCACGGATTGATTGTAATTCACTTCCACATAGATGTACTCGTACGCACCCATTTGCACTGTACCTATACAAGCCAAAAGAGTTCCTTTGTAGTCAGAACTTAAAGAAACATTACGCACGGAGCGCTCCCAACTACACCAATGAAAGTATGTAAAGATGACCTACTTCGTACAAGGAAAACAAAAACGTGGCCCACGACATATGACGGCGTCGCCTAGGCATTCTTGACAGCTCCACCCACCTAAATCAACGACAGAGGAAGAAATGGCAACTAGTTACCTCCAAGTACACGTCCAGAGCCTTCCCACTTCGATTTGCACACCGCTGCGTCATAACCTGCAGTTCGCAACTGGCTAGCGACCAAACGCTTGATGCAGCCACCCCTGCAGTCCGCTCCTTCGGAGTTGCAAATCAACATGTCGACATCACTGGTCAAAATTATGTTCACAACCGCATTGAGAAGTTCTGCTTCAATCCCTCCATGAGCAGATGTCAATGTCTGCATTAGCAATGTGAACGATGAGCATAATGCACAAAACTAACGTCCATGACTGTGGCGATTAACCAGCCTGATTAGGCTCGCTTCTGGGGAAAACCTTTGCATAATTGCACATAGGTACAATTTATACGCTACCGCAAAGGTCAATCAGAAAGTTCCACCAACTTTCCAGATAAGCCCCGAGCTAGGGGGCCTACAAAGCCGAGAGTCATGCAATTCCAGCTCGAGGAAGAGGTATGAGTAGACTGTTACAGATGATCACAACTGCAGTTACACCAAGATGCAGCGAACGGAACGAGATTAAAGAACGCTAGTTTCATAGTAGGCCCGCAGTGCTGACGTAAGAATTCCTTAGATTACTGAGCCCTTGCTAAAGTAGAGAATGCTTAAACACCAACCCTGGGTAACAGCAAGCTTCTACACAGTAACCGAAAGTTTGCAACCTAATGCGATGTACCTGCAAGGTGTCGGGAAGTTTAACGATACTGGAAGGTCCGCTCTCAGAATCATTCCCATCGTAAGAGTTAGGACAGCCAGAGCTCTCGATAAAATCATCTACCATGGCCGCGAGGTCATCGCTATCCTTTTCGCCGTTGTCGCCCCTACCACTGTTGCACCCCTGTGAGCCAGGGCTAACATTAATGGAGCAACCTGTGCCACTGTAGGAGTTGGAAGCAGAATGTGCCATACCCTTCATCCACTCCGCGTAATACTGATGCGTACGGCATGCTTTGGACTTATTCGGAGCGTTGGGCATAGCTTCCACTGCTGATAAAAGTTCAAAGTTGCGACCCACGGGCCGGTCCCATGCCAAATCCTTGCCGTTAGATGTTTGAGCATCTTGGAGGAAGGAGTAATTCGCACAGGGTGCAGTTATAGTCGGCCCAGGGTAGCGGAGTCCAGGCATTCTTGAGGATGGCGTCGCAATTTTGGCTTGCTGTACTCTTCGAACAGTAGCTTGAAAGCTTCTGTAACTATCAAATTGCGTGACAATATACGTGGTACACCGATGTACTGTGTAAGTCTTGGTGGTTGTGCAAATATTAAGGGGAATTCTTCTCTTGTTCCTTCTTTTTTTTTCTATACAAAGGGGGTCAATATCCAGATCCCTGGTCCTGACCAAACTGTTTCCCAAGAAATAGGCGTATACACAACAAAATGTACGTTGGCTACAATTTCGATGAAGACAAGTTGCAGTTGGCTGCGATAGTTTTAAGGTTTCAAGCAGGCAATTGATCAATTGTGAGAAACAAAGTGTGTGTCATTTTCCGGGTATGGCGCTTCTCCTGCTGCGAACAACTTCCACCCTGGGAAACTGCAGATCCTGATGTTTCAGCAAACAGTGCAGTTGCACGCAGGCATCTGCGATGGCTTCAAAGCATGTACAAAACGAACGATATGGCTGCAGACATGGAGAGCTTCCGGAGGTTCCAAAAAGTTGAAATTTACAGGAACGTTCCCTGAAAGTAAAGCTCTGCAGAACCTGAGACCAAAAACATTGTCAGTTCGAGATCAACTTGTGCACATGATAGACACGCCTTACCCCCGAGACTGACAACCAGGTGATCGAACTCCAAAAACGTCTTAGCAATGAAAGCTGCATTTCTGTTAAGGCATGATTCCGACACTTTCAGAGTTTTTTTGTTTTTGTTCTCTGGCTTTTTGGTTTCTCCTTCCCGACTCGATTGAAAGAAGAAACGCAATGCTTACGATTTAGACCGTGCGTTAAAAGCGAGGTTCCCTCATTATCCCTCCAAGCTTTGTCTGTGCAGACAGTTGTACCATACTCCGCTGCTCATCGCACTGATTAAACCTAGACTTGGCGCACCTAACTAAAACTCTAAACGTAGTAACCAAGGAACTTACGGAAGAGTAGCACTGGTTGACGCAAACTACCACGCCAATAACTCAACCCTGTCAATACCTCCGATGAAGCTCCTCTCGTCGAATCAAAACTCTACGACTACAGACTATCCCCTAAAAAAACCCCCCATTCCTTCCAAAAACACCGTCTCATGTGAATATACCACGAGAGTCCGTGACTAATGATGCTAACATTCCTTTTAGACTTCGCATGCGCCGACTCCAACTGCAACATCCCTCGAACCGCCTCCATCGTCTGCAACTTAACATTATACCAAAACTCTGGCTACTCCTTTCAAAATCATCACCAATCGTCATCAGCCCCGACTCAACCTCCGGCCAGTAACTCTAGCCTTAGAACCTTTGCCACACCCGTTACTTACCAGCACGCAAACCTCCGGTTAAGTGTCCGGAAAGTGAAGAATACTCCTACTGCTGAACTCCACCAAACACTGCAAAACTCACTCAAAACTCGGCCAAAAACTCTCTTAATTTTTTTAAAATATATCGAACAGGGCCGAAATGAAATGGCGCAGGTTATAGTGGAACCAACGACGCAAAACTATGACAAAGGATCGGAGACAAGCAACAAAGAGCTAATTGTAGAGACCGGTGATGGGTGAGCAGGCTATTGTAGAGATAGCACACTGAAAGTGACAGCACCGGCCATGGCCTTTTGCCCTTTGATCTCGGTCTCCTCGGGAAGCGTGCCTCTGTGCACGGGAACGAATGAATTTCGTCAGATGAATGGGGCGCCGGATGGATGGCGTCGCCGTCAGTCGTTCTGGCCCGGCCACCCGTTGCCGTGCCCCTAATATTTGGTTTTTTCCCCCCTCGCCCGACCCGCTTGACTCGTGGCTGGCTGCTTCCCCGTTATTAAACTTCCTCCTCCTCCCCCCATCGCTTAATGAGCACGAGAATTGGGTGTCGTTATCCTGCTGTCTGTATCCTTTACGAAATCCTAATTCCAAATTCCCCACGGTCATGCGGCGGATGTGGTGGTGAAGGGGCTCTCTCCCCCCCCCCTCACACCATTTTAACCATTCTCCCACAACATAAAGAAGATGGAGCAACTGAACTATAACCAAATCATGGAGGCCCCCTCCCCTGTTTTTATTTTCTCCTTCCTCATCCTCTTGCTCCTCAAGATTTAGATGTGATTGCTTGCAAGGCAAGGCAAGAGATATATATATATATATATATATATATATAATCTCAGCGGTCACATTCAAAGCAACAACCACTTGCCAAATCTTGGCATTATGCAATGAAAGTTCCCAAATGGTGTGAGATTTGTGTTCCATCCTTGTCATCATCTTCATCCACCACCCGGCTTCATAAATTGGTTTGTGTTTTGGGTTTTCAAGGATGAATGAATATGTCTTCAAAGGGTGGAGAGAGAGAGTGAGAGAGTACTGTCTTGGTTCCAAGAATCCCATGTAGGTTTGTGTGTGAGTTTGTGTCTGTCTTGGCATGTTTTTTAAATGTTTTATTGTTCTAGTAGTTTGAATAGATGTAACAAGAGGGATGGCCCAAGAGAAGTATAAACACTCACTGGTCCAGGTGAACTGAAAACAACTGCACTCAACTATTGGAGATTGTGTTGAATATACTGCTCATGCCCCCATTTTACCTGGAGATATTGGCAAAGTGTGCAAGGGAAGCATTTTGCATGTGAAATTAGGGGGAGACTGTAAAGTTACTACAGGGATAGGGGGGGGGGAATATGTGGTGCAGATATGCTCACATTCAAACTCCTCCTCTTGGAGCTTCTTAGTCTAGGGAATGGAGCCCAAATTTAGAATAGATTCCTCATCACAGCAGCATGGGAGGAGGAGGATGAAGAATAAGGGAGTAGTAGGGTAGGGGGGGATAATAGTAGGGGTGGGTGAGATGGGTTTCCCCATTAGATTGAGCTTATGATTGAGATGAAGAAGCCCATTCCCCCTTCTTATTGTGAACATTGCTTGTGAGAGGATCTAATCTAGTGTTTTCCCTCCTCTCCTGGCCCCACATTAGATTTAGAAAGAAACTGCACTGCAGCAGAATCAGCTACTGCAGGGGAAAAAGTCCTTTTTCATAACTTTGTTGTTATGAACTCACTGTGTGAGCATGAGAGACAAAATATTAACCCCCATTGAATATCATTGCATTCTCAACCCTGATGATATATAGACTAGGAATAGCAAACTAGCTCAATTAAGACACACCATTCCAGCATGGCTCTCCCATAAAGCCCAGATGTGGCTTCCTTTAAATGCCATTGATCCTGAAACTCCATAAACCTTGTATAAAATCCAAATGGGGTAGTAAAACAATCACAGTAAAATTAACTTTACTTCCCTTTTCCAGAAGCTATACTTAGCATGAATAGTTGTTTGTGAAAAGGACCTGTATTTTCAAGACCTAATATTCTAGAAGAAGGTTTTAAAAAATTATTAAAAATTGGGAGCAACTCCCAATGTGGTTGACTCCCCTTGAAATCCAAGAGTCTCACATGAAGACCAATCACAGTTATCATTCTCATGGGCTTAAAATTGGCCGAAACTTCAGAAAAAATAAGAGTAAATTTTATTCGTAAAATAAACAAAATAAAACTATAATTTTTCATATTTTTGCATGAATTCACACTAACTTTATTTCAACTTATTGATATAAATACTAGTATTACTTTGAATGGGAAGATTTGTCTTTTAAAAGAATTGTTTTACAGAGATAATAATATAAAAAAACCTTGCAGTTTACTTTATTATTTTGAATATAAACACGTTAATTAGTATTTTACTAGTTAAATGAATTATTGCATGCATTACCATTTAAAATATGAATGTCATACAATCAAATTGACAGGATTTTTAGCATGATTCTGCAACAATCATTTGATATAAACTAAGATTTAATTAAAATTAAGACCTATATCTCCATCAACTGTAAAATTTAATTATGAATATAGTTTTATTTATTTATTTATTTATAGCTATATTTTAATCATTCTAAAATTAGTTATTTCTAGAATATGTGACATGATGCCAATATGTATTAAGTATCTATTCAGAGTAGTTTTTAACTTGGTTTATAAGTAAAATAAATGAATGAACTTGCATTAATGTGTAATTTCCCAAACAGCACCATAAAATCATAAACAAAAACAAAACAAGTTATAGAAATCTTTAGAAAATATCAACAACACAGCACATGATAAAGAAATATTTAAAGAAGATATTATAAATAAAAACTTGGACATATTAGAGGCTCTTAAGCTTTAACAAAATCAATTTATATATAAATATATATATATATATATATATATTCACATTTTATGACTTATTTCTTTTGATAAGACATTATAAAACATATATATTTGAAAACCACAAAAAACAATTTGGTTGCTAGTTTAAAAAATGATGTAGATGTTAAGTAAATCAAAATTAAAAAAATTACTAGAATATGTTAATTTTTTTTATATTTATATATAATTTTGAGCAATTACAAAACGAAATTTCTAAAGCCTGTGAACCTTGCATTCAGATCTGTAGTTTTCTAGAGGGTGCAAACTATTATTCTGTGGGGTTAACTAGGATTCAATAACAGAAAGAAGTTTTTTACTGCATTCATTTGAGTTCATGGAGTTTTTTATGAAAATTTTCAATCAAATATGCTAAAAATATAACTCATTTCAAAATGTGCACAATAGCTACTAAGTTTTTAAAATTCCAAAAAACATTTACCATTACAATAAATGTCCATGAAATAAATGAAAAAATTATGCATTTTTTTTATTTTTTCAATTTCCATTTTTTTAAAATACCTATTTTAGGATTTTAACTGTAGAATATCAGTTCCAATAAAAATTTAAAAATTTGTTAAACGAGAATAATAGAGAAATACAATCTTAAATTTTGTAATCTTTTTATTTTTATTTTTATTTACTTATACACAATGTTTTTGAATTCTACTTACATCTTTGAAAAATAATATTTTCAAATGGTGTAATTTCTATTAATCAGGATAACTTAATGTATTGGTCAAAATATTGAGAAACATCTTTATGCATGTTAACAGTTAACTATCTGAAATAAACTCTCATATGTTAGTTATTTATATCAATAAACATTGTACATCAATCATAAAAAAAACTATGTACACCTGTGCATAAATGTAATCCATTTTAAATCAGAACTGTACCCAGAAAATCCTACAAATAGAATTGTTTGCTGCCCTTGCATTAATGAAACATTTAAATTTTGTGTGCATAGAACTTCAAAAAAATATTATGTTGCTCATCATTGTGAAACACAATCTACATATGATACTATGATTAGTATCACTACACAATGAGATGCAAAAATTAAACATCTGTGGAAGATACCATGCCATGCAGTAGATTTTTTACTTACAATCTTGCATCAAGTTCATTCTATAGTTTATTTTTCAAAATTTCATATATCACACACATCAATTCTGGTTATTTATTTTAAAGAAAAATAAAATATATTTGAAATATATCATTTAAAATTTTCTTTTTCTTTTTATAATATAATAAGTAACTATATCTCATTTGACAATATTTTCACAGTCAAGGGTCACAAAGTTTCATAATTAAACTCTCATAAAATTTACCAACTATATGCATTCATAAAATTTAACAAACAATGAATTTTCTTTAAGTTTTAAAATTATTTAATTTACATGATGAGAAGCTGCATATTTTCATACAATATGTTTATTCATCACCTGTCATTTCCAATGTACAATTTCTTTGCACTGTTACTACCAATTTTTGAAATTATTTCATGTGAAACTCTACAGAAGCCATACTTAGCAAAGGCTAAAATGTTTTCAAACGTGGTATCATATATATATATATATATATATATACATATATGTAACTGCATCTAAAGTTCCTTCAACTTAAAAGTTATTTACATCAAACAGAAAAGAATAAATTAAACAAGTAAAAAAATCACACAATGACATCTTTAATCAAAAATTTAATATATTAATTATTAAATGGATAAGGTTTACAGTAATTGTTTAGTTTGAGGTTTTAATCATTTTTATTCATTAACCTTGAAACAAATGCTCTTCCCATAAACTTGCAAAAGGCTATGGTCAAAGTTTGTCATAACATATTTCAAATCAAGCCAAATAGCTGATCTCCATCACTTCACTATGACACAGTGATGGGTTTTTTTGTAATAGGTTTTCAGCATTGAATATATTTTTAAATGAAAATTAATAAAAAAAATATACCCATCTTAATGATGAAATTAAGTTTGTAATTTTTTAAAAAGAGTATCATTGTTCCATATAAAATAAAGCCACTGTTCATGCTGCCTTCTTTTGATGACTATCTCATCTGACTGTATTCTGTACTCCACATATGTATACACATATCTATATATATATATATATATTTATATGAGAATGAGCCTGAGTTTGGTAATAAATTCCACAACATAAAGAAACAGAGGGGAAGAGATGAGGAATGAAATTATCCAAACATTCATCTATTCAATTCGTTTCCTAAGCTACATCCATATATATATATATATATACATATATGCAAATTGTTTGATGTCATCTGCCAAGCTTTTTACTTTACTATTTGTTTTCTTTTTTTCTTTTTCGTTTTTTTTTTTTTTTTTTTTTTTTTCCCTGCCAATGCTGAGT